ACATGCACAGCACCCACACACATACAGCACCCACAGACATACACATCACCCACACACATACAGCACCCATACACAGCACCCACACACATACAGCACCCACAGACATACACATCACCCACACACATACAGCACCCACACACATACAGCACCCACAGACATACACAGCACCCACACACATACAGCACCCACACACATACAGCACCCATACACAGCACCCTCAGACATACACAGCACACAAACAGCTCCCTCACACACACACAGCACACTAACAGTACCCTCACAAACACAAACAGGACCCTAACAAACACACAGCACACTACCAGTACACTCACATACAAACAGCACCCTCACACACAGTACATTAACAGCACCCTCACAAGCGCGCACACACACACAAACAGCACCCTCACACACAGTACATTAACAGCATCCTCACAAGCACGCACACACAAACACCCTCACCCACATAGCACACTATCAGCACCGTCACACACACATCACACTAACGGCACCCTCACACAGCACACACACACACACAGCAGTGTGTGTATGTGTGTAAATATGTGTATGTGTGTGTATATATATATATATATACATATATGCGGCGTGTGCTTGTGCTTTAGGGTGCACACCCTAATGCAATAGGCTGCGCACGCCTATGCATCTTGAACTAAGTCAGGAAAATTTCCATGACGTATGCACCCTTCTGTTATGGCCGTGTATGTTTGCCAAGTTAAGGGAGGTCCTAAATTGAATAAAGTAAAATAAGTGTTACTTTTTCATATTTGAACTACGGTAACCTAAAATGGAGACAGAGGTATAAATAGGTGTACTTTTAAATGTTAAGAAACAGAGGAGAGACTTGGAGACAGATGCTGCTCCATCTTAAAATGACAGAGAGGCTGACATGATGACATGTTCAGAAGGGTATGTTAACCTATTAATGATATTTGCAAGCATGTAATTTAATCTTATAAACTCTGCTATAATGGATTTTATATTTATATTTTTATATAATAAATATCCAAAAGACAATCTTGCTTCCAAGACAATCCTTATTTTATATTGTATTCTCAATTATTTATATATGTTAAATAGAGGATCTCTTACACTATATAAAATTATGGCTAAGATATCTGTATGGTTAGCCCTACTAAGTTCTATGCTTTAAGATATTATAGTGGTAAATAAGGGAACCACCAGCGGTTACACTAGACCACCCTGTGCTAGGTTCACTACCTTTTGGGATGTAAATGTAGTCTTACAGTTTTTATCATCTTGGTACCCAAATCAAGATCTGACATTGAAACAACTATCGGCTAAGGTGGTCATGCTGTGATGCCTGATCTCTTGTAAGAGGGTTTCAGATGTTCGAGCACTTGACTGGAATGCCATTACGTTCACACCGGAAGGCATCTCCTTTAACGTTTCCAGAAGGACTAAATCAGCTTCAAAAGTGTTCGTCTACCCTAGATTCCAGACTAATCCTTTACTCTGTCCAGTAGAGTGCCTAAAAACCTACCTGGAGGCTACTCGTACATTGCGCTCTCCGGAGTTGTGCCTATTATTTATTTCGTTTCGCGTCCCACACCCTACACTGGCAAGGTGGGTATGAGATGTACTGACATTGGCTGGGATCGACACGTCCGTATTTACCCCCCATTCGGTCCGTGGAGCTATGGCCTCCAAGGCATCGTCAATGCGCTGCCGCCTGGAAGATATTCTACGTGCGGCAGACTGGTCACGGGAATCAACTTTTCGAGACTTTTACTTCAGGCCGGTGGATCATTTCGCATCTCAGCTTTAAACTTGCATAATAGGCGCCTCCGTGTCTTTAATAAAATTCCCAGATTTTACTATTAACATGACGTAAAGTCATGATTTTATTAAAGACACGGAGGCGAGTATTATTCCCACCCACCCACCCGATTGGGGCTGGAGTTAAGTCGATATGATTGCTAGATCAGGTAAGTTCTCTTTTGAATTTTTTCATACATTTCATTATGCTGACATTATAATGTTTTGATGAACTATATTTATGCTATCGTTTTGAGTATTTTAATGTTTAAGAGGTTCGGAGATGGTCTTGACTTAAATGGACTAAGTGATTGTTATTATACGCAGACAGTTTGGAACTCAGATATTACCATATATTTTCTATGTCTCCTTCTAGCCTGAACTCTCGTGTTTTTCCATAATGAAGAAGCTGTTGGCTACGTTAGCTGAAGTTGGAATTTTCTACATGCTGGTCTTCGTTATCCGCAAAAAAGAGGGGGATTGTGGGTGCATCGAGCATGTTATAGTCACTTCCTGTGTTATGTGATTGGTTGCTTGAGCATTGTATTTTTTTGTTCATTTCAGTTATTTATTCATCTCTGTTGTTTGCTGCTGAGAGTAATAAAGAAAGAGATATGCATAATACTCGCCTCCATGTCTTTAATAAAATCATGACTTTACGTCATGTTAATAGTAAAATCTGGGAATTATTATACACACTGTATGACCTTCATCTACCGGGGTTTGTCTGTCTCCAGTCACGCCATATCCCCCAGGCCTCCATCGCCTGCTGTGTTTGTGGGTTAATGCTGCCAAAGCAGGTTTCGTAGATCTGCTGGTTGTCTAAGTCCTGTTTGTGGGCTTTTATGCTTGGGGGTCTAGTGGACTTCCAGGCTCTTGCTATTAAGCATTGTGCAGTCAGCAGAATATGGCAGATTCGTTTCTGTACTTCTGTGGGTGTTTTACCTGGTATGTCCAGTAATAGAAAAGACAATGGGTCAAAAGGCAGAATAATAGTGGTAATATCAATAATCAATTTGTGGATCTTTTTCCAGAATTTGGTTAGGTGGGTACATGACCACCACACGTGGAGAACCGTTCCTTCATCTCCAGCATAGGGGGGACGAGAGTGGGTATAACTTATGTATGCGGGTGGGCACAATATACTACCTATATAGTGTTTTTTTCTGTTGTTCTAATAATGTGGATGTAGTTATCAATTTTTTCATAGATGATATAATATCTTCCCATTTTTGTTTGGGAATATCAATGTGGAGGTCTTTAGACAAATGCGCTGCAGGTGTAGAGAGTGCAAAATGCTCATATGTCTGAAGGAGTCGGTAGCACCTGGAGAGCGGCTTACAGTAAGGTGGAAGTACACCCTTAACCTCAATTTGTTCCCAGAATGTGAGCTCCTGTGTATTGTGAGCTTCTGGGGTGTTTTTGAGTCATGCCTGTTAAGAAAGGATTGCAGTTGCATATGTGAGAATTGTGAGGCAGCGGGATCTGATAAATCCTCTGAAGTGCCGGGAATTCTATCAGTTTGCCTAACTGATGTGCATCAAGTGTGTGACTCCCTTCTCTTGCCATGGTATAGCATGAAAAGTAGGGATGCAATAGGTTATTGCCTCAATAGGGGTTGCTAGAGACAGGGAATGTGAACCTGTCAACTTTGACCTGTTCTTATCCCACACCTGTAAAGCTAGTATGATTTGTGCTGGTAGTGGAGGGATGGATGGCCTGAATTGTTTAGGAATTGTTGAAGGGTTTCACAGCTAAGTTTTCTAGTAATACCCGTTGCAGATGGTTATCTCTAAGGAAGCGGGGTATTAGTGATGCTAGTATTGCTGCCTGGTAGTAGAATGCCATCCCCCCGCCTCACAGGGCCCTCAATAATTTGCCAGAGATCCAAGCTCTACCGTGTGTCCAGATAAATGTAATCATTTCTGAGTGTATAGTCTTAAAGTACGCTTCTGGCACAGGGATAGGGAGTTGCGGAACAGATGCTGAAGTCTGGGCAATATGGACATTTTAAGCGTTATTATGCGTTCTGTCCAGGTTAGGAATAGAGGACTCTAAGTACGTAAGAGGGCTTTACATTCATTCCAGACTCTGATGTAATTAGTTGGGAATGTGTCAGTTACTTTCAAGGTAAAAGTATTTTCTCCATTCATTGGTGGACTGTTAAAAAAAAAAAAGTTAAGCAATATGAGCTTCCGTGTCTTGACATAAAATTGACATTCTGCTAGCATCTGTTTACATGTTATTAATATTCTATTAAATATTATGCTTTGTGATAGCCATTGTCCACTCTTGATTGAAACATAGAAACATAGAATGTGACAAGAGATAAGAACCCTTCGGCCCATCTAGTCTGCCCAATTTTCTTAATACTTTCATTTGTCCCTGGCCTTATCTTAAAGCTTTATGCCTATCCCAGCATGCTTAAACTCCTTCACTGTGTTAACCTCTAACACTTCAGCTGGAAGGCTATTCCATGCATCCACTACCATCTCAGTAAAGTAATACGTCCTGATATAATTTTTAAACCTTTGCCCTTCTAATTTAAGACTATGTCCTCTTGTTGGGATAGTTTTTCTTCTTTTAAATATAGTCTCCTCCTTTACTGTGTTGTTTCTCTTTATGTATTTAAATGTTCCTCTCATATCCCCCTGTCTGGTCTTTCATCCAAGCTATACATGTTAAGATCCTTTAACCTTCCCTTGTAAGTTTTATCCTGTAATGCACGAACCAGTTTAGCATCCCTTCTCTTAACTCTCTCCAAAGTATCAATATCCTTCTGGAGATACGGTCTCCAGTACTGCACACAATACTCCAAGTGAGGTCTCACCAGTCTGTACAATGGCATGAGCACTTCCTTCTTTCTACTGCTAACACCTCTCCCTATACAATCAAGCATTCTGCTAGCATTTCCTGTTGCTCTATTACATTGTCTGCCTGCCTTTAAGATTAGGTACGAAGGGGACAAAGCTCCACACAACCCACCAGTCACTTGCCGCAGTGTTGGAAGGCCTTTGTTGGGAGATACCAATTTTAGCCAAAAAAGCATCTGTGGCATCTATTGCTGTGGAGCCGTTTTTGGCTGATGAGGGTGTGTGCCAGGCCCCATTTGTATTTGATAACCGCCTCTCTAAGTGCCTGTGTTATCAGGCGAACCGAGCGTCTCCAATCCAGGGTAGATTTGCACAAATCCTGCTAAAAGGTCAGTTGCATTTCCTCGAATTGGAAGGGGACTTTAGATTTGAATGCCATCTAAGAACACCCATTTGTCTTGGAATGTCTGGAAGCAGGACATGGCAAGGTGCTGCTGCTGGTGCCCTGGGTGATTTGGGCAGCTGATAGTAGTTGTCCACCATATTATTCTTGGACTCCCGGGTCCAGTGTGGTATTTCTCTGTCTGCAATGGATTCTGTAAGTCCCCTGATTTTTAGGCTTTTCGTGTTATCCAATGTATCCAGCAAAGTCTGCACAGCTGAGTGCAATATTTGGAAGCATTGGAGCTGTTCTACAGCACGTACTTGTTTCTGGGAGAGGGAGGAGACATCATCTTCGGTCGCCTTGACCCTGCCTGTAACAGCTGTCAATTCCTCCTGTACAAGTGCCAGGTCAGCGAAAAAGGTGCATATGTTGGAAATGAGGTCCATTGTGTCCCCTTTCGTGGCATGAGCTCCCTGATCCTCCATCAGAGGGTGTGCTGCAGGCTGTACAGCCTCTGAAATAAGGTCTGTGGCATTAAACATGTCCTCCTCGGAAGATGAGCCCGGGTGGTCATTTTTTTGCATTATTTGCTTTAGACCGCACATGAAAGAGCTTATCAATATTCCTGCTCCCCTCTCCAGTAAGAGTTCTAAGATTCTTGGAGCACTTCCCCATGTCGGCTCCCTCTGGGGCTTAGAGTGCTTCAGGATGGGTTTAGAAAATCAGTGTATACACCGCCAAAGTGCCGGAGCTCCACACATGCGACCACTGGTGACACCGTTCAAGCCACACACCCTATATGTTATATTTTTTTATAAACCTGTGTTGTGTTTGCAGTTGTTTAATATTCATGAAAGCAAAGTATTTTTGTAAAAATTTTTAACAAAAGATCAAAAGGTAAACATCAAAGACAATTTTTCACAGCCTCCTGTGCTCATAGTTACGAAGGGTGCCAATATAAGTGGAGGGAACTGTATATTACCCATAATTTCTATATAACACTAAACCAAAATGCTGTCCTTAACCAAACCTTAAATACTATCCATAAACATAAATGCTGACCTTACCATCACTGGTAGACCATGTGCCATTCACATTCCATAAAAGATAGAGCATCAAATTGCAATTCTCCCACACCAGATTGAAGTGTTTTAGACAGTTGGTTTGCGTTTTATAAGCGTTTAAAAAATACAAATTGTATTATTACATAGTGATAATTAATTATTAAAATAAGTCCAAATCTGGTTTCCCAAATAATAATATTTTTTAAAAAAGAAAAAAATCTTGGTTTTGCTGCACTGACATTTGCTCCAGTTTTATGTCAAATCCCATCTTATGTCTTGGGTACCCTTCTACAGAGTGGAACTTTTATATAACATGTGATCTTTTCCTGTAGGCATTATGTGAAAATTATGTCATAAAATATATTATGGACAATTTTTTAGACATTTCCACTATGATTTCACAGAAATGTGTTCTCATTCGGCAAGTAGCAGTGAGAATCCTTTCACAGGAACGAGTCTCCTTGTTCTTTGCATCATGTAAGAGCCAACACTCTGTTGCATCAGAATACAAACAGATGGCTCTCTATGGAAGACACAGAATTCACTGGGGATTTCCCAAAGTTTTTTTCTTTACGCTGCAACATGCCATTGGTGATGTACTACGTTAAGGAAAGTCAACTATGCCCCGTAGGCTTTTGTTAAATTAAAACTCCTATAGTCCACAATTAATTCTGCAGCTGAGGATTGTGCAAGTACTTTGATAAATCTCCTCTTATGTGTTTACTAGGAAAAATCATTTAAGTTCCATTATTTGATCTGCATTATTATCTACTATCTACCATACACCCAGTTACTCATTTGGTGGAAACAATCCACATTCTGGTCAAATGTTTCTATGATTTGGTATCTTAGCTTAAGAAAATAATAAATGTACTGCGAAAACCATTCCTTCTTATTACAAGGATGAATATACAGGACAACAGGAAATACATGTGCCCATAAGCTTACAATATAGTGTGTTTGAGGCATATTTAGGGTGTTATCATGTTTAAAGGGTTACTTCAACCACCATGATCACTTCAGTGGTTTGAAGAGCATATTTTGCATCTGTCGTCAATGCGCACAGTGCGCTGGAGACAGACTGCATAATCTTCTCCCTTGCAGACAGAGCTCCAATATTTTTCTCTCATCTCCCTCTGTTGCACATATAGTTTGTTTGTTTTTTTAAATAACCCTCCTTCACTGGTTCATAACTACATACCTACAGTTTCCTCTCAAGGAGAACATGACTACATCTAGGTAGAAAAAGTAAGAAAGTGTCACTTGTTCTTAACATCGTTATCGATATCTGAATATGATGGATGCCAACATTGGAAGAGCCAACAGAAACACAGTGAGGTCTTAATCAACTCTGTTATACTCTTCATAGAATGGGTGTGAATTAGAGATTTCACATAAACAACAGTAACAGAACGGCCATCATTTCATTTGAAAATAAAAATATCTATCAGTTTTCTGTCAACTCCCACAGAAGCTATAATTAGTGACAATTTCCTACTATTTTTGCTTGTTGCCATAGCAGTGGTTGTGAATCTTTGACAGCCTATACTAATGTCAGCAAGTACTGTTCAGTCTTCTGAGATCCTATCAATAAAAAAAGTTTGTTAAAAGATGTTTTGCGTTTTTTTTCACATGTCCCAGAGTAATGTTTTCATTTGCTTTGATTGTCAAGTTTTTAACTTTTTTTAAGTTGGCATGTAATTCTGGTAAATAAAAGGATGTCTGTTGAACATATAAGTTATTGTCAGTGCCTTTAGTTTTTAAATGTTTTACAGGCTTGCTGTATATTGCAGATTTTGGGGGCTTAGACAGCCTTGCATTTGAACTGAAAGGCTCCACCCAATTAAAAAAGAGCACTACCAACTTTAATAAAAAGAATTCCCTCTTTTTATAAAAGTTGAGAGTATTATGGACAGTTGCAGTCAATTTGTCCATTAAATGGTTGTCTGCAATTTTAGCTTTAACCTCTCAAAGAGAAGGGGCAGTAGACCCCAACAAGGATGCAGCCAAAACTCTCCTAGTAGCTAATCTAACTTTATTAAAGGGCATCTGAGCCCTCATGTAAAAACCCTTGAAGGACTGAGAGAGTAGGAATAGCTCCCAATTGCAGGGTAAATAGTTAGGTTATAGTGGGTCAGCTAAATTATTGTATAATGCACAAATATCAGTTCAGTATTCCTGCAGGTGATACTAGAGTGCTATTTTGAATTGGGTTGACATTAATATAGGACATGCCTTTTAAAATACATAATATTCCCTAAATTGTGATATACTTTACAAATCTTTCAATTGCTGCCTTTGAAACGTGATTTGCATATTTGACATTCTCTCATTTTCATTTTAATGTGAAATCAGAAGAGGGCTAGGATGGCGCTGATACATTTGCAAAAACCTAAATTCAATTTAGTTCTTAACATTTGTTTGTTTAAATATAATTTGGCAGCAGCACGATACTACCACTCTTTGGACTGCATCTTGGGGCATGAAACCTTCTGTAATTACTTTCTTCAACAACACCATACTAACAGCTTCATACACCCTACATGGACTTGCCAGAGAGTGTTAGACATAATCCTATTTTCTCATCTACTATTATTATTTATAAAACACCAACAAATTCCACAGTGCTATATAATGGGAGGACCAACGACATAAGTATTTATAACAAAACAAGTTGGGTGCATAGGAACAGTGGGTGCCGAGGGCCCTGCTCAGACAAGCTTATATTATAGAGGGAGTGTGGTAAAGTGACACAATGTCAGTGGTGGCGGTCCGGTTACCGGGACCCAGTATGCCTGTTCTTGAGAGTAGGAGTCACAGAGTGGAAATGGATTAGCAGGGCCTGGTGCAGGGTAACCACACGCCCCCTGGTGTTGAGCACCAGTGTTTGTGTGGCCACATACCAGGGCCCTGATGCAGCTTCTGCGGATCCCAGGTGCCAGATGACAATAAGCAGACCTCCCAGGAACTGGATAGGGAGGCTTTGCAGAAGACGTATCCAGTACAGAAACAAGGTAAGACTAGAATAGACACCAAACAAGAAAACAAGACAAAGCTAGGAGAATCCAGAACCGGAGCAGGACAGAAAGCAGAACCCAGAATATGTACACAAGACATGAGGAAAACAAGAACAGGGCAGGACAGGACTGTACAAGAACTGGGAATACAAGACAAAATAAAACAAGACAAGAGATACAAGGCAAAACAAGAGGAGACTTAACTAAGTACTATATATGTAAAACATTGGAGATTTAGACATACATAAATGGCCAAGATGTATGTAGCCCACCACTGCGTCAAAGTACTCTAATTAAGGTGGGTTCTTAGACTGCCTAGATATGCATTACTAAATAAACAATAATAAAACACACACAGCACGTACCTGCAAGAATGGGCAGACTTGGAACAACTGCCTACAGGAACCAACTGAAACAAAAAATGATTAATGGGAGAGGAAAGGGTGTGGCAACATAAAACAGACATTTAAAGGAATCCAGGAGACTGGGAATTCCAGGAACGGAATAAAGGAATGAACCCAGAAAACAAGACATGAAATAGAAAAACCAAGAAAAACTAAACAAGAATTGTAAAAAGAGTACTGGATATCAGAACCCAAGGCCAGACATCTCCGCAGAACAGAGCAGGATGTGACACACAAGAAGTAAGGGTATGATATATTTCATGAATGGTAAAAGTAGACTGCTATTATAGTTAACAATGAAGGATTAGTTTTTTTGTATGACACAGTTGCAGGAGAGGAAGCATGGAGGGTTACCAACTTGTGGGTAGGGAAAGCTATTAACGGTTTAATTAATATGCTTTAATTAATCTTCAAAGATTTTTTTGACAGAATGGAGACTGGTTGAGAGTCTAATGGAGCATGGAAGGAAGTTACCAGAGCAGAGGTGCAGTCCTAGAGAAATCTTGAAGGTGAGCGTCAGAGGTGTGGGTATGAATAGGGAATAGAGTATGAACAGGGGAGATTGACATGCCTGTGTATTGGTGACAATAGATAGGTAGGAGCAGTGTTTTGTAGAGAGATGTAAGCAAACCAGAATTTTAAATTAAAGGATCACTATAGGATCAGGAACACAAACATGTATTCCTGACCCTATAGTGTTAACACCACCATCCTCCTGGGCCCCTCATGCCTTCATAGATATAGCAAAATCTTACTGTATTCAAGCCAGATGTAGATCTGCATGCTGTTTGCCTAAAAAAAAAAACAAGCAGTCTGCGAACATCATCAGATGTGGTAGCCTGATCCAATCACAATGCTTTCCCATAGGATTGGCTGAGACTGACAAAGAGGCAGATCAGGGGCAGAGCCAGCATTAAATATGCCCCTCCTGGGCCCCTCATGCCTTCATAGATATAGCAAAATCTTACTGTATTCAAGCCAGATGTAGATCTGCATGCTGTTTGCCTAAAAAAAAAAACAAGCAGTCTGCGAACATCATCAGATGTGGTAGCCTGATCCAATCACAATGCTTTCCCATAGGATTGGCTGAGACTGACAA